GTTCGCCATGGTTCATCTAAAGTATAATTTCTCAGAGATTGGAATCGATTAATAATAATAATAATAATAATAATAATAATAATAATAATAATAATAATAATAATAATAATAATAATAATAGTAAAAAAAAAGTAGAACAAATACATGTCTACGATTATTATAAACGATCTAAATGTGTACGCATATTCAAAACTCAATGGAATTATTTTGCGAAATCAAGAGAACACGAACGAAACAAGAATTCGAATGTAAAATATTTCAATTATTTGATGGAACGATAAAACAATGATCGATCGAATGAAATTTTTTATTACTGAGATAAAGAAAATTTTCCTTCGATCGTGCAATTCCGTCGAAAATCTTTTTCAAATATCTCGGCGATATCATTGATAACTTTTATTAATAACAGATTCATTTTACTTCGTAAAAATCTTAAAAGTTAATGTCGCATTAAATTAAGGAAATGTTTTGTTTCCTCTTTTATTACTTGAGATTTTGTTTGACGAGACAAAATTAAAAAAAAAAAAAAAAAAAAAAGAAAAAGAAAGCTATCCCCTAAGGCGAATAGTATACTTATTATCATTTGATAATCGTCGCTTCGATCCCGTTTCACGGGAGCTCGGAATTAATCAATCAAATTAATCAATCATCTGTACTTCGTAAAACAATCCAATTTTCGAGTCGTTCTTTTATAATCACCCGGTATGAGTAAATATTTCACGTTCAGGTCGTTCTATGCATCAAGTGTGAGCGTATGATGAAGAAGTTCAAAAAAAAAAAAAAAAGGGAGCATGCGTTACGTTTTCAAGGGTCAAAAAGTGTTTTTAACAAAAAGATACGTGGATAATACTACGTCCGTTCAATGTCATTGCCGATGACAAATAACTTTCCAAACGTGATATACAAATAACGTTTACGATCGTAGACACGTAAAAGGAGTCGTCAACTTCAAATATAATAAATGCATGCGATCGGGGAAGTGGGAAAGGGGAAGGAGGGGACGTGTACATCTAGAAAGAAAACATTAGACATTTAATTTGCTATGATGATATATATATATATATATATATAGTACTTGAACGAGAAGAGCTTTTGAAGATCTTTGCGAATGTTCGATCTCTGAGTTAAAGGGGGAGTGAATAGATACGTGTGTGAGAATGAGAGAGAAAGAGAGAGAGAGAGAGAAAAGAACACACTTGAGTTGTCTTACCTCTTACTCTCACTCTCTTTCTATTTATTTCTCTTTTCTTTTTTCTTTTTTCTTTTTTCTTTTTTCCTTTCATTTTGCTCTTGGTCTCGCGTTTTCGAGGACAATAAGGACCTTGAAAAATCCTTCGGTTAGTATCGCCGACATATTCCCGCAGGAGTCATCCCTCTATTATATTTAAATTGGACGAGGCATAATCATCGTATACCTACATATATGTATATCACTATGGAAATGTCGTGTCTGTATTAGAGATGAATATTCTCATATATATATATATATATATAGTTACAAGACACACTATTATTCATACTTACACGTACGTACGTACGTACACACACACACACACATACACGTGCCTATTTTATCTTCCAGTTTGATTTTTTTTTTATTTCCCTTCCAGTTATTATGCATCCATTTGTCAGCTGTACCGATCTACGATCGGCGGAAGTGACAAAAGTTTATTTTTTTTTTTTTTTTTTTTTTTTTTTTTTATATATATATATATATTATTCATTTTAATTTCTATGCCACTTTCTTTCTCTTTCTCTGTTTCTTTTTTTTTTCTCTCTCTCGTTTTCTCGAGAATCCTCCTTGAGAATTGTTCCAAAGGGAATTCTGTTCAAAAATTCATTTTCCCCGGTAAAAAGGTCATTAATTTCATCGAGGTTTGAAAGATGTCACGTGTCAATCATCGAAGACGATTTTATCTTAGAGTTAGGTGAAGAAAGTGACTCATATAGAAAGTGAATAAAACAAAAAAAAAAAAAGATATGGGAGAAAACTGTAAAAAAAAAAAAAAATTCGGGGAGATGTGAAACGATTTTATTTATTTATTTATTTATTTATTTATTTATTGTTTTTATTTCTTCTCGTTATGTTTAATTCGTCGGATCTAGGATCGCATTTATACATTTGAAGGCTTTAAACGCAACAATTATTATGACATCTGACGTATGGGACCTTAAAGGAATAAATCTATTTCGATTAATCCAAATTCATACGCATTCTTTTATTTTTATTTCTTTTCTTCGTTATTTTTTAAGACTATCAAAAATAAAAGTCGACATTGTTTCATGATAACTTATTTCAATGAAATAAAAATAGTACAAAACAAGTGCTATGTGGGTATGTGTGTGTGTGTGTGTGTGTGTATATATGGTATACGTATGTGTTGGAATTTAACAAGACAACAAAAATAAATAAAAGTGAATCGGTCCAAATTTGAATTAAAAAGAAGAAAAAAAAATTATATTGTTGTTCGTCATAGGGAGTAAGATTTTAAAATATGATCTTAGAGAGAAAAAGAGAGAGAGAGAGAGAGAGAGAGAGAGAAAGAAAAAATGTAAGGTCTTAACTTGAGCCTAATGCGATTTATGATAAATGCGGATCTGGTCAGATCGGAGATTGAAATATTCATGCAGAGAGAACATTGAATTATACTTTTATTATATTCATAAAAATTAAAATGTACACACCTTAATTAATTAATTCTTTTTTTTTCTTTTTTTTTTTTCTTCTTTATTAAGTTTTATACTCGTTATTAGCCTTCTATGCAAAATATCGCATAGTATGTATAATATTTAACAATAGAGGTAATAGGTAACCTCGAGACGAGACGGACTTACGAAACGAATACACGAATTTTATATCCGAATTATTTTTTTTATTTTGTCCTTTTATTTTTTTTTTTCTTTCTTTTCTATTCTTTCCTTTTTAGGTATTATTTTTGATAAGACGACGGTACAACAAAGTAAACATTTCTCTTTTCCCCCATTTACTTATTTCATTAATTACTTTTAATAATAATAATAATAATATATATATATGTGTGTATGTGTATGTGTGTGCATATATATATATATATATATATATATATATATATGTATATATATATGTATATATTATTGACTGCTTACAAAATAATACTATTACACAGTGTACTCGTACGGCGTTTAATTATGTTTTTTTTTTCCTTTTCTTTTTTGCAATAAATCTTCTATTTTTATTCCCTTACGATTCGTGATAGGTATACGTATATGTATATGTATTTTTGACGAATGGATATATTTTCTATTTTTTTTTCCTCGCGTTTTCCTTTTTCTTTCTTTTTTTCTTTTTTTTTCCCCCTTTCTATATATATGTATATATATATATATATATATATATATATATATATTCGTTTATGAATATTGTCAGCCAATTAGAGACGGCCTTAGAGACGACATATTTGAAAATTACGTTTTTCTATTTCCGACGAGAGAGACAGAGTTTGTGTGTGTATATGTATATGTATGTTGTATGTGTGTGTGTGTGTGTGTGTGTGTGTGTGTGTGAGAGAGAGAGAGAGAGAGAGAGAGAGGAAAATGAAAGAAAAAGAAATATGATTAAAAGGAAATCAAAAAATAGAATATGATTTTACGATACTATGATATATAGTATATAAGAAGAAAAAAAAAGTATAAAAAAAACGACGAGAATTTAATTTTTCTCCCATGAAACGAATACATGAAGAGAAAAAAAAATATATATATATATATATAATGTTATATCTCTAACTATATTTATTTTTACGCTATACTCATGCATACTGGGGGGGGGGGGAGGGTATTGTCTCTCTCCTGGTGTCTTCGTTTTTTTTTTCTTCTTATACTTTTTTTTTTTTTTTTTTCTTTTTTTTTTTTAACAATTCTTTGCTCGTCTAACAAACGAGAATGAAGTAGACGTATTTTTATTTTTATATTTGTATTTTTTTTTTTATCTCTGCGTCTGTATTTTTGTATATACGTATATGTGTGTGTGCGCGTATGTGTGTCGATAATGAAGCGCAAAGGGAGGGGGTGGGTTGGACAGAGTAAAGAACAACGTGTACGTACATTCGTGAAGGATGATGCGTATTCGTTGGTTTTATGCAAATCTGTTGATCATTCGCGTTCATTTCTCATTCTTCTTGGCTAAGGTCCGTTAGAAGTGCAAAGAGTATAATCGTGAAAATGGCTGATGAAGGAAAATAGGTATGAAGGATAATTTTTCGTCAACTCAAGTAGGCGATACATACATACATACATACATACATACATACATACATACATATATATACATACGTACATACATATGGATCGGTTATCGTGTAATTTCTTTGTATGCTGCAATGTAATTAAAAAAAAATAGAAAAAAATAAAAAAAAAAAAAAAAAATAAAAGAAAAAAAAAAATAAGTAAAAAAAAAGAGTTTGAGAAAAGGACTGATAAAAATGTTAACAAGTCATTAGATTTTTTATATCGTACGTTTACCAGTCTATCACTGATGTGTATAAGATCATGTATATGTATATTTATATATATATATATTTATATATATATATATATTTATATATATATACATGTATACGTGTGTATTCATTTTTCTCTAAAATATTAAATGTATCTGTGTATTTTATATATATATATATATATATATATATATATATATATATTAATTTAAAAATGTTCGTACCAATAAAGTTAATATCGAAGCGTTCTATTGTCCTAATCGAATAAACTTTCGAATATTTCTCAAAATCCTTTCAGTATGTTACTTGATTTTAATCAACCATGAAGTTTAGACAAAGGCTATTTACCCTTTTTTTTTTCATGTTTTCATTGTTTACTCGTTTTCTTTTTATTTATTTCTTTATTTATTTGTGTTTATTCTCTCTCTCTCTCTCTCTCTCTCTCTCTCTCTCTTTCTCGGATAAAATGCTCGTTATAGTGAAAACGTGTTCGAAAGAATATTATACGTCATGATCTCGTAA